ATCATTGGAAGTCGCGATCTTGAGAGGTCTGAGAAACAAGCTGAGCAATTGTTAGCAGTTAGCTCGTCGGCCCTCTGTCCTTTTTAGAAGCTTTTTCCAGTTTGTATCACTGGGTCTGTTTGTTTTAGAGAGAAGGAAACCTCCAGTGTATAATTTGGCTCCTGGTTAGGGCTGAACGATTAATCGATTTTAAATCGGAAAAAAAAAATGTCTTTGTGTGTCAGTCATCCACACCAATCAGAAGTGCTGTGCTCCACATGTACCAGTCATTGTTAGTCAATCAGAAGTGGCCCATGATAGAAGGTTATAGACAGATTGATCCAATCACCTGCCAAGTATTTTTGAAAGTGCCTGCCCTTTCCAAATGGCTTCCAATGGAGCTTTCCTAGATGGTTTGGTGAAACAAACCATCTGAGTCAGGTTAGTAATGCTCCATCACATGTTTCTATTACAGGGTGAATCTTAAACTGAAGCTTGACTTTAAAGCAACCCAACGGAAGTTTCATGTAAGTTTAGTTCTTTCACTCGTAGCTCGTCTGCGGGGGTGCTAGAGACGGGAGCACGTTGATGTGACCTTCCTAGCCGGAAATATGGCCGCATTTTACAATAAACTTCCGTTGGGTCGCTTAAAACAAATATCGCAAATCGAATCGCAATATCTGTCAGAAAAATCGCAATTAGATTATTTCCCCAAATCGTGCAGCCCTACTCCTGGTCATAGATGAACACTGCAGGAATCACCATCAAACTCCATAGTCTATTATTGCTTGGATCACAAAATGACCAACTGTGCATTCAATACTGCTCACCCTCTGACCAGAGAGGGAGATGAATCTCTTTCATTGCATAAAGAGACCAAGGAGCATCAAGTGGCATGTGTCCTTTTAAGCAGAGAGGACCAAGAAAAACACGGACACTGCTTGAAGACTTAATCCAGGTATTTAGCATTCTTTCTTGTGTCTTCTTTTTGTGCAGGAATCAATCTGCTGTCAACTCTCTGCGAGAAAGGAGTTCATCTGGGAACCAATGACCCTGCTCACATGGTGAGGGACTGTGGAACATCAAATGCACGTGTCTAAATAAATGAAGAATGTGATGTTTATTTATTATCAGTGATGTATGTAAAATGTTTTTCTCTGCGGTTGTGTCTTCCAGTGGTCAAAGAGTAGCTACATCTCAAGGTTTGAAACCAACAGACAAGAACTCATCATCCCGTCAAGATCAAGGTGCACACAACAACGAAACAAATATCCACGATAGATCCTTAGAAGATACAGGGAGATGCTTACAGACCATTCTGATGAAGTTATATTATTATATGTCGAACTTCCATCTAAGTTAAAACACAATGTTTAAAATTATTTAAATGTATGTACGCACTACAAAGTAAACTCACAGGACTATCTCACTGTCTTTTTCTCCAGGGTGGTTGTCACCCATCAGCACCGCTCCCAGCACATTGAAGAGGATGACGGTTCAGACAGGGAGGCTTCTTCAGTCTCCAGCCTGCCTGTTTCCTCCAGTCCTGGGTCCAGTGTGAGCAGCAGTGCCTGTGCCAGCCCTCAGCCCGGCCTGGCCCACAGCCTGCTGCCCCAGCACTTTGCTTCGCTCTGAGACCCGCTTTGCTAACACCATGTTCAGACACAAAGCTCCGGGTGTAGGACTTAGCCCTTACCTCTCCGCAAACATCAAATGGCTCTAAAGATGTACATGAAAATGTGTACTTGAAACGTATAAGAAGTCCAGTCTTAACTAACACTGTAGAAGGGAGTGGCTTTTGTTTTTGAACAGATTTTTGGTTTGCTTTCAGAAATAAGTATGAACAGTGACTAATATATAGCGTTGAAGCTTTGTGCAGAAAATGGAGGAACCTTTTGAATGTTTGCTATTTCAGTGATAAATTTAAAAAAGACGGTCAGTTCATGGCGGCGTATCCTTTCTAGTCCCTTGAATTATTCCACCTAAAGGACCATAGCAGTGTTGAGGTACTTTAAATCAGTAGTATGCCAACTTTAGTTCAACTGTATTATAAGCGTTTTAGCAGACAGTGATTTCCATTGGGTTTTATGGTCAAAACGATCCTGCAGAAACTTGAAACATGCCGGAGATCTAAAATGCATCACAGTAAGCATTGTTTACACCTAATTTGTCAATTTCCCATGCAGACATTAGTCAGTGTGTTACCTGCATCTCAGACACATTACTAAGACGCTCATTAAGGCCTCTGGAGACACTTGATACTGCATTTACAAAGCAGAGGTTTGGTACAGTTAAACTCTGCCTCAAAGCTGCATCATCTGGCTAGGCCAATGCAACCAAGTATTAATGCCAGGTAGATACTCTTCAGTTCAGACGGTCAATGTTTTCACAGGTGTTTTTAAGGGACTATAATCCACTGTGCAGTGCTTGACTTCAGATAAGTATTAAAACTCATGGATGTATTCCTCAAACTGGATGGTACTTCATCCTCTCACTGGGATTTGAACTCGCCAGCCCAACAACATTGCAGCACTTTTTCGATGAATACCTGCTTAAACTGTGAATTAGACACACCGGGCTTCCTCAAAACCTCCAGCAGTGTAAAGCGATGTTAGCACAAGCTGTCGGTCTGTGTGTTTTATGCACTTTCATTAGCAAAATGAAACCTTAAAAGCCGACTCTACCTTACAGAATACAGTAATAGTGACACAATACTGTTATTTCTCTAATGTCTTAAATCTGAGACTGTTGCTGATTTGGTGTTAAGAGCAACTGATTGCACATGTATCACATTCCCAGCCTTATGGACTCTTTTGTTTGTGTGGAAATGGAGATGGGAAGAAAAAGGGCTCTCAGACAAATAAAGGGAGGAGATGGGAGAAAAGGAGCGTTGCACAAATACAGTCTGATCTCACCAGACTCTGCTGAGATCTGTGCAGCGTATTGCAAGCATCTGAACCGTCAGTACTTGACTTTGTTTTCACTGGTTGATGGTGTTACTGCGGTGTTTAACCTAACCTCTTCTTGATTACAGGTGTTTACTAACAGGATGCTATAGATACTTGAAGACTACACTTTGATTGCTTTGTCTGTGAGTTGTTCGAACAAATAGAGAGTTAATATATCCAACAATTGTGATTTTAACTTTGTCATATTGAAGTCTTCTTATAATTATTCATTTCACTTTTAAAAAGGGCTTTTGTTTTTTTGTGACCATAACATGTACACAAATGATAGTATAGAGAATAATATAGAATATTTCCTAAAAGACGCTTTCTCCAGTCGGAACTGGTTATGGAGCTGTCACATGAAAACAATTACTTTTCTTTGACCTCTAACCTACGTGGATATTTGAAATTCTCCCAAAAGGCATAATGACACACTGTTTTACACCCAAGTGGTCAATATTTGAAAAATATTTGTTCTGTTATTCATGGTGTCAGAAGAGTAGAGAATCTGAGAACTTGTTAATAGAAAATAAAAATAAACTCTTCGTTAGAACAGTTTTTTCACATAAGAGAGGTATTATAAGTAAATGGAGAATACATATATTGTATAAGGGAAATTATCATATTTTTTACTAATTGTAAAATTCCCATGTAAAATGACAATTTCAAAATAAAAGTTATTTGTGTTACAAATCCAATGGTTTGGTCTTTTTCTGGGTGATGCTTTTCTTCTAGTTTGTTGACGATAGTGTTCCTCATAATAAATAATAATTTGTACGATTTTTTTTTTTTTAATAAATGTTTACTATTTGAAATGTGTTGCTTTTTAGCCAACTCTCATCTGGCATTGCATTTGCTTTAAATGTACTAAAAACATGTTAAAATGATATATTTCAATCTATGACGACGAGTCTGAAAATCTGCTATAACGAAATGTCAAACCCGTTACAATACAAGACTAATATTATTCCTCAAGTATTGTAAGGGTAACATTTGATCAGGTTGCATGTTGGCCAACAATGACCCTGTTTACAACTGCAAAAATGCTGTTTTTGAAATATGAGCACCGGCACACACTAGCACACCACATAGTGACATACAGACATGCATAGAGAGAATTGTTAGCAGCGCTTTGAGAGTGAAGACACAGCGACCAGAATACCACAGAAAGTGTGTCAGGACTCTTCAAGCAGTTGTTAACTATTAATATCTGAGCTCCTCTCCCTCTAACTGGCAGTGACAGGCTCATTTGGGTAACTGCATTTATTATTAGAAAGATAATTGCTGTACATCAGAAAAATATCAAATAAACTGGAATCAGACAGCTTTTCTGAATCCTGATTTAGGTTTTACTAAACGAAGATTGATTTAGTATAACCTGTTTAATACATGCAGAGCTGCAAGGATGTGCTGTGCTAGAATTTGAAAAATGTGCATAGTTGATGTTTTATTTCTGACCTGACAGAGGATTTCCTGTTGGAGTTAAAGTAGGCTGAAATAACTACATCTATTCTACATTTTTGTTGGTATTTATTTGATGTAATCTCAAACTTTGAATACATGTTTGATCAGTATTTCAAGGCTGCTTGTAATGTCAGAACTCCATGAAAAGGAGGCGATAGTCTACAGTCGTTCAGTATGTCTATAAATAGTTTGACATGGAACGACCCAGTGAAACTTGAACGTCTCCCACAGTAGGACAGATGAATCCTTAAAGCTGCACATGTCTATTAATTCCTCCTTTTGTTAACAATGGATCAAATGACTGTGTAATGTGAAAGTTACCACTTGTGACAAACCCACAAAGATGTATCACCTTAGCTCTGAAGAGCGTTATAGCATCTTTTAGCTGATTGTTTAGACTTTATGTGCAACAACTGAACTGTTTTTGGTCACTTTTCCTGCTCTTTTGTCAATGTTTTAACTGTTGTAATATGCCTACAGGATCAGACAGAGCGTTTTTAGCTGTTTGCTTTATCTCATTGTTTATTTATTATTGTTGTAAACTAAATTAAGTGCTAACAAAAACCATGATACTAAGTAGTAGCTTCTAGCTTAACGCTACCTCTAAAACTAGCTTTAACCTGTTTTTTAGCTACAAGTAGATACTTTTTAAAGTGGACCTATCATGCTATATTTGAATAATATAGTGTAGGACCATACCTATATAAGGCATATTTATACTTTCTATTTTTCAAAATACCAAACCAGCCATTCCTCATTTCGCTCAATTTAACACTGTCTTTGCATGGGCTGATTCTGTGAGAACAGCACCATCTACAGGCCTGGCATATGTACTACATCGTCTCCAGCGCTTTCCAACGGCAATGTCCGTGGCTTGGCCCAATAGCAGTAGCGCCACTTCTGTGACGTCATAGAAGTGTTCAAATCTGGATCAGTCTGTATCAGATCCGTTGCAGCCCCTTTTTTAGAGATTTGGGTATGGAGGAAAATAGAGAGGGTTGTGTTTTTTGACACTTGGTGAGTTCCCTGGAACACCGGGGACACATATTCATGTAGAAAAGACGTACAAAAGTGCATTTTGCATGATAGGTCACCTTTAAGGTAGAAATACATATCCGAAATGTTAAGAACCGCACAAATGTTGACTCTATGGTGTTTTCTGTCCATATTTTTGTTGATAAAATCATAGCTCTAGGTATCCAGAAATAGCCCACAACAATTGGATAGGCTAATGGGACATGAAACAGGTATATAAAAAATGATCACCTTGCACAGTTGTCATGGACACTATAGAGGCCAAATACCTTTATTGTACCAGGGTGTAAATATGTCCGCTCTTAAGCTGGGCATTTTAATAAGGACCTCTACAAGGAACATGCTTTTGGAGCCAGCTTCAAGTGGCCATTCACGTGACGTCGCTGCAGTTTTTAGCTCTTCCGTGCTGGCTTCATTTTTCAGCACTAAGTCCAGAAACACGACTCCAGTCTCCAGATGAATGTTCTGGTAGATTATTTGTCAGTGCTTGGTTCACAGCTTGTTGCACTGCCCCTGAGTGGATGAAAAAATGAACCAATGTAGCTTTAAGGCAAAGGACCTGCTGTAACAACTCCTCCTGTGTGTTTTGGGAGACTTCCTCATTAGATACCCTGCTCATTAGTCCCCATGTGAGCGAACACACAGGTGCCAGTGTGAGGTAACAGCGGTAGCGATGAAGCTGTTCTATCAATCTTCCAAAAGTGTACTCATGCAAAATGTGTGTTTACCATATCGGAATCTGTAGATTAAAAAGGTGTCGTTGTCACATTGATAATTGAGTTATGGTTTTGTGTTACATTTAATTAAACTCCTCACATGCCCAATTAGTAGTTATACAACACGTTGAGGGGCATCCAAACCTGCAATTTGTTGGTATGATGTCCAAGATTGCTTCTTCTTCAATAAAATCGTTTGTATGATTTTAAAACCCTTGACATGATTTTGTATTTTTTTTTAAAGCACAATAGCAATAATAACAAGATTGTGTATTGATTTAATGTAAACAGCAAGCTGAAGATCCTAAGTGACAGACGTTATAAAGTATTTTCATGTATCTGTGTTTAGCCCCTTTAACTCTCCCTGTGCATGCTTCCCCTCTCTCTCTGTGTGAATGCCACAGGCCTATCACCCCTCACTCCAGATTTAGACCTCAGTCTTTCCCAGACATTCAGTCCCAGCTGGCTGTAGCAGCAGGTTG